GGGTGACGCATGCCGGCGGCAGCACTGGTGCCTTCGGTGGGGCTCCCTATGGGGCCACGAAACGTGTGAGGGGTGTGCCGAATTGGGTGTGGGTGACGCATGCGGGCGGCAGCACTGGTGCCTTCGGTGGGGCTCCCTATGGGGTATGGGGCCACGAAACGTGTGAGGGGTGTGCCGAATTGGGTGCGGGCGGCAGCACTGGGGCCTTCGGTGGGGCTCCCTATGGGGCCACGAAGCGGTGTACTGGGTGGGTGAAGAGGAGAGGAGGAGAGGAGGAGAGGAGAGGAGGAGCGGAGAGGAGAGGAGGACGCGGGGACCGTCTCTTCAAAACGAGGACCCAACACCACAGGATGTATGGGAAAACCACACACACACACTGTGGGAAAACACACACACATAGGGGAACAACAAGTGGCATAAACATAAAAACTCGGAGGTCCAGAGATCCGAGAAGTCCGCGCGGACCTTCGAGCTGTTATGTTCATGACACTTCTTCTTGTTTCCCCCACGAGTGGGCAGACGCTCGGCCTGTCCAGGCCGTCGCTCGAGCATGGCGTTTGCAGCGCGAGAGGCCACGCGAGGGCGGACGAATCCTGCCCCCGTGTTGATGGGCCTGCTCTCCACCACCACCATGCGTTGGAGGGGGAGGGGGTCCTCCTCCTCCTCCTCCTCCACCTCCTCCTTCTCCTCCTTCTCCTCCTCCTCCTCCTCCTCCTCCTCCTCGTCCTCCTCTTCCGTCCCCCCTCCAATTATGGTGGTGGTGGTGGGAAACAGGCCCATCACGTGTCGCGGACACGGTGCTCCGCAGGCCCACGTGAAATCAGCCAGGTAATAAGTGTCACGGGTGGCTGTCGTGACCAGAACGTTCTGGAAAAGGCTTCCCGAAATTACTCTCGGAGCAAGCCCTGGGAATGCAGAAGCCTGATATACGGGGACATCCTTACCTGCACGTTCCCGCCAAAACGCATCAGGGAAATGAACACGTTCAGTTGCGGATAGCCCAGCACAGCCAGATCTTCCCGGAAGCCTCTCCGAGAACACCTACCTTAGGCTCACCGCGCGCGTTGCTCGCCGCCGCTTGGCCCTAGTCCCAGGGCGCTGGGACTGCACCCGTATCCTGGCCGCCGCGCGGCCCGCGCGAAAATTTGTTCATTTACAGTATGCTACGCTCCCCGACCTACGCTTAGGACCGAGGGGGATGGGGGTAGAAAGTCCCCCCGCCCCCTTCGAACTGGAAGGGGCGGACCTCCCCCTCCCCCGGTTGGAACCGGGGAGCGGGGAGGCAAGGTTCAATGAAAGCCCGAGCAAAGCCCAAGCAAAGACGCTCCCATAAAGCCGGAACAAAGCTCCAACAAAGTCCAAACACAGCACAAGGTCAAGCAACGCCCAACCTAAGCTCAAACAAAGCTCAATCAAAGTACAAAAAAAGCCAAAACAAAGCTCAAACAATGCTCAACCAACGCCCAAACAAAGCTCAAACACAACTCCAACAAAGCTCAAGCAATGCCCAAACAAAGCTCAACTTAAGCTCAAAGAGAACTCCAATAGAACTCAACGAAAGCTCAAACGAAGCTCAAACAAAGATCAAGACAAGCCCAAACACAGCTCACATAAAGCTCAATCAAAGCTCACGCGAAGCTCAAAGCTCAACCAAAGCCCAATCAAAGATCAAACGAAACTCAAACAGAGCTCACACTAAGTTCAAGCAAAGCCCAACCAAAGCTCAAACAAAAGGCAGGCACAGCTCAACAAAAGCTCAAGCAACGCCCAACCTCAGCTCAAACAAAGCTCAAACAAAGCACAAGCAATGCTCAACCAAGGCTCCTGTAAAGCTCCAACGAAGCTCTAACAGAGCTCCAACAAAGCTCCAACAAAGCCCAATCAAAGCTCAACAAAGCTCAACCAAAGCTCAAACGAAGCCCAAACAAAGCACAAACAATGCTCAACCAAGGCTCTTGTAAAGCTCCAAAGAAGCTCCAACAATGCTCCAACAAAGCCCAATCAACGCCCAATCAAAGCTCAAACGAAGCTCAACCAAAGCTCAGCCAGAGCTCCAGCAAAGCTTCAACAAAGCTCAAACGAAGCTCAAACAGAGCTCACACGAAGCTCAAACACGGTTCAAGCAAAGATCAATCAAAGTCCAAACAAAGCTCACACGAGGCTCAAACAAAGCAAACAAAGCTCAAGCAAAGCCCAAGCAAAACTCAAAAATTAGCCTGGCGAAGAACCCAACCATATGCAGTTGTCAGTACCGCAGCTGTGGGGTTCATCTTCAATGGAACTCCCCATAGGACTACGGAACGTCTGAGGGGTGTGCCGAGATGGGTGCCACTGGGGCATTCGGCGAAGCTCCCTATGGGGACATGAAACACGCGCGGGGCGTGCCGACATGGGTGGCGGAAACGCATGTGCAGGCCGCCACTGGGGCCTCCAGTGGAGCTCCCTATGGGTCCCCGAAACATGATGCTGCTGCGGGGGGGGGGGGCCGGGATGGGTGGCGGAGACGCATGTAAGCGCCGCTACTGGGGCCTTCGGTGGAGCTCCCTATGGGGCCACGAAGCGCGTGAGGGGTGTACTGGGATGTGTGGCGGGGACGCATGTGAGCGCCGCCACTGGGGCCTTCGGTGCAGCTCTCTATGGGGCCACGAAACGTGTGAGGGGTGTGCCGAATTGGGTGCGGGTGGTGACGCATGCAGGCGGTGCCACTGGGGCCTTCGGTGGAGCTCCCTATGGGGCCACGAAACCTGTTGTTGTGAGGGGCGTGCTGGGATGGGTGGCGGGTACGCATGTGAGCGCGGCCGCTGGAGCCTTCGGTGGAGCTCCCTATGGGGCCACGAAACGTGTGAGGGGTGTGCCGAATTGGGTGGGTGTGGGTGACGCATGTGAGCGCCGCCACTGGGGCCTCCGGTGGATGGGGCCACGAAACCTGTCAGGGATGTGCCCAAATGGGTGTGCGGGACGCATGCGCATGTGAGCGCCGCCACTGGGGCCTTCGGTGGAGCTCCCTATGGGGCCACGAAACGTGTGAGGGGTGTGCCGAATTGGGTGTGCGGGACGCATGCGGGCGGCAGCACTGGGGCCTTCGGTGGGGCTCCCTATGGGGCCACGAAACGTGTGAGGGGTGTGCCGAATTGGGTGTGCGGGACGCATGCGGGCGGCAGCACTGGGGCCTTCGGCGGAGCTCCCTATGGGGCCACGAAACGTGTGAGGGGTGTGCCGAATTGGGTGTGCGGGACGCATGCGGGCGGCAGCACTCGGGGGCCTTCGGTGGGGCTCCCTATGGGGCCACGAAACGTGTGAGGGGTGTGCCGAATTGGGTGTGCGGGACGCATGCGGGCGGCAGCACTGGGGCCTTCGGTGGGGCTCCCTATGGGGCCACGAAACGTGTGAGGGGTGTGCCGAATTGGGTGTGCGGGACGCATGCGGGCGGCAGCACTGGGGCCTTCGGTGGGGCTCCCTATGGGGCCACGAAACGTGTGAGGGGTGTGCCGAATTGGGTGTGCGGGACGCATGCGGGCGGCAGCACTGGGGCCTTCGGTGGGGCTCCCTATGGGGCCACGAAACGTGTGAGGGGTGTGCCGAATTGGGTGTGCGGGACGCATGCGGGCGGCAGCACTGGGGCCTTCGGTGGGGCTCCCTATGGGGCCACGAAAGAGGGGGTCCGGGACGCATGTGGGGCGAAGGGGTGTGCCCGAAACGTGCGTGCCGTTGGGCGGCAGCACTGGGGCCTCGGGGGGCTCCCTATGGGGCCACGAAACGTGTGAGGGGTGTGCCGAATTGGGTGTGCGGGACGCATGCGGGCGGCAGCACTGGGGCCTTCGGTGGGGCTCCCTATGGGGCCACGAAACGTGTGAGGGGTGTGCCGAATTGGGTGTGCGGGACGCATGCGGGCGGCAGCACTGGGGCCTTCGGTGGGGCTCCCTATGGGGCCACGAAACGTGTGAGGGGTGTGCCGAATTGGGTGTGCGGGACGCATGCGGGCGGCAGCACTGGGGCCTTCGGTGGGGCTCCCTATGGGGCCACGAAACGTGTAAGGGGTGTGCCGAATTGGGTGTGCGGGACGCATGCGGGCGGCAGCACTGGGGCCTTCGGCGGAGCTCCTTATGGGGCTACGAAGCGCTGTACTGGGCGGGTGAAACGCAAGGAAGAGGGGGAGGAGGGAGGAGGAGGGGGAAGAGGAGGAGAGGAGGAGACGCGGGGCACCGTCTCTTCAAAACGAGGACCCAACACCACAGGATGGTTGGGAACAAGTCGCAGCCAAAGCTCAAACAGAGCTCAAACAAAGCTCAAGCAAAGCTCAAGCAAAGCCCGACCTAAGCCCACATTCGGTTCGAGTGTAGAGCAGGGAGGTGATGGTCTTGGAAGAAGCCAGTGCAAGCTGGTCTGAGGATCAAGAGGCAAGGTCTGGTGGGTAAGCATTGCCAGCCTAGGTCAGCTGGAGCAGGGTCAACAAGCGTTGAGGACACGGGGCGGGGGCCCAGGACTGACCCTGTCGACCGACTCACGCCGGCGAGCTCCCGGCGGCCATCGGTGGCAGCAGCAACGCCTCTGTGGCTCGGGGCACAGCCAGCCTTCCTTTCTTCGCTCGCTCTCTTCCCCATCTCACTTCCCTCTCCCTTCCAGCCCTCCCCTCCCCCCTTCGCCCATCCCTTCCCTCCCAACTTCTCCTCCCCGATTCCCCATTCTGCGTAGAGGCAGCCGCGATGCCACAGAGACCCAAGGTTTCGTCAACAGAAAGTGACGACCAGATCGCGAGACCGCTCGGACAGAAGAAATGGGTTAGTTACCGAGTGCGAGCATTGTTTGTGGAATGCGGGGCTCATTGTGCGTTTCTGGTTGTCCCAGGAGCCCTCCTCCTCCTCCTCCTCCTCCTCCTCCTCCTCCTCCTCCTCCTCCTCCTCCTCCTCCTCCTTCCTTCTCGCCATGCCTGGGGGCAGCCACTCGCACCGACGTAACTGTCGCCAGACTGCTCCCGATCGTCGCGCTGGGCCCATCGACAGGCGTGTCGGCAAGAGAGCGAGGCGGAAGAGGGTGCCCGTGACGCGCCCCTTGCGCACATCTTGGCAGCCCCAGTGTTGCTGCTCGCTGTGGCTCGATTCAGTGCGGCCATCTATTCGGGAATTTCCGATTGCGACGAGACTTTCAACTACTGGGAGCCGGCGCATTTCATCACATTCGGCTATGGGTTCCAGACTTGGGAGTACTCGCCCGTCTACGCGCTGCGCTCGTACCTCTTCTTGATGCCGCACGCTGCTGCCGCGAAGGCCGCAGAGATCGCCCTCGGACGCCCCGCGGCGTTCTTTCTCACGCGCTCCGCGCAGGCTGCCTTTGCAGTCCTGGTCGAGTCCATGTTCGCCGCGGCAGTCGCCCGGCGCTTTGGGCACGGCGTGGGAGCAGGCACCGGGGCATTGCCCGCCGTGCGCTGACGCCGACCAGGCCCACCCCGGACCCGCGATCGAGTCGCAGAGCCCGCTCGGCGTGGCGTGCCCCGTGGGTCGATCCCGTGTCCAGGGACGGGCCCCGCCAGCACCAGCGTCGGTGCACAGTTGGCGATTCCCCCAGGCACTGCGTGGCTCCTGGCGGTCAGCCCTGGGCCCTTTATGGCCGCGGTTGCCTTCCTTCCGAGCTCCATCGCCATGCTGCACGTGTGCCTGGTGTGGGCGCTCTGGCTGTCGGGGCGGCCGCTGGCGGCCGTGTTCATCGGCTCAGGTCGGAAAGCCTGGAGACACGAATCGCTCTTTCCAGAGGAGCGGCAGCAGCTGGAGGAAAAGGAGGAGCTGGAGGAGGGAAAGGAGGAGGACCATGAGGAGATTGAAGAGGAGGAGGGAGACGGGGAGGAGGAGGAGGAGGAGGAGGAGGAGGAGGAGGAGGTCCTCACAGCATCCCGGGGCATGCCAGCACGGCCGCTGTAACCGCAAGCGTGCGTCGCTGGAGTTTGCCGGCTCTTGGAGGCTTCGGAGCGGATCCTGAAAGGTGCTGTTAGGGGACCACATGCGAACCCTACCCCTACCTCCCACGATTTCTGAGGGGGAGGGTGGGGTTCACTTCGTTCTGGAGCTCTCGAGCGAAGTGAACCCCACCCTCCCCCTCAGAAATCGTGGGGGGTAGGGGTAGGGTTCGCATGTGGCCCCCCAGTTGTCGCATCCGTGCCCCTTGCAGGCACCTGCGTCTTGGTGTGGCCCTTCGCCGCGCTGCTGTTCCTCCCCCTGGGCGTCTCTGCGCTGCTGCAGGCGGGCCTCGCGCGTGCCGTCCTGGTCGCGGCCGCCTCGTTCGTGCTCTGGGCGGCGGCCTCGCTCTGCGTGGACTCCCACTTCTACGGGCGCCCGGTGCTTCCGGCCTGGGAGATCATCAGGTACAACGTCCTCGACCGGAGCGAGAAGGCCGCCCGAGGACGGGAGCCATACCGGGGCTCCGACGCTGGCCGGGCGCGCCTTGGGACCCGGAGTCGGTGCCCCTCCCCCCCCCCCCCCTCGCACTTCCCCCTTCGTCCGCACGAGAGGGAGGAGGAGGAGGAGGAGGAGGAGGAGGAGGAGGAGGAGGAGGAGGAGGAGGAGGAAAAAGAAGAGGAGAAGTTTGATTTTTTTTTTCAGGTTCATGATGTCTGTACGTTCATTATGATACCCCCTCCTTCCTCGTTCTTCTGCGTTCGCTACCTCTTGCATTTGTTCTCCACCCAGCCGGCGGGACTACTCACCTGGCTAATTAGTTTGATCACCCCACCCCAGGGCCGACCAGCCCCAGTGGGGAATGGCAACGTCGGATAATGTTCTGCCGTCAGGGTCTCAGGGTCTCAGGAGGAGTAGGGAGGATGACGCACTGGGAGGAAGTTGGCATGGTGCAGCTCTCCCCTTGAAGGGCGGCCCCGAGCTCTACGGGGTCGAGCCCTGGTATTTCTACGTGGTGAAGGGCCTCGTATCCTGATGCTCTCCCTCCCCCATCATCCCCTCGTTCGTTCCTCGTTCCACCTCCCCCTCTTTCTCTCTCTCTCTCTCTCTCTATATCCCTTTCGCTTCTCTCCTCACCCCTGCTCTCAGACGACATACCCTCAGACACGGAATCCAGTTTGGATGTTTATAACAAAGTTGAATGCACATGCAAAGCGACGAAGTACCACGTTGTGGGCCCAAGGTGTGGTGACGTGCAACATGTTGTAAGCACGATCGTGTGAGTTTCTGCGTGGGGGGCGATGTCATTGCCGTCGATGCATCACCAGAGCGTGTCATTAAGTCGGGACATAAGAGACCGAGCCCCTGTCCGAGACTTTGCGCGATCTTATGCTATCCCGAGGAGGAAACCAGCATCACGTACCTCTGACAGCCATGCTCGACAGACCACGGCCTGCAACTTACCTTTGACGAGGGTGTCCTAGGATGGCCACTAAGCTCAATATTATCAATGCGAGCGCGAGTGTGCAAGAGGTTGTCGATATCACGAACATCAGCGCAGGCACATCCCGATATCCAAGCGCCGAGGACACTGATCACCACGGGACGCCCCGCAATTGTAAATACCACGACATGATCCAAAATGGCAGCCTCCAAATTGACTCCCTCGCGGCTCAAGAGCGCGCGTGCTGACACCCTCTAAGCTGAGGGTGACATGTTCCATTGCTGTAGTAGAGAGTCGGTAGTGCACGAGCCCAAGGGAAAAGAGGCACGTGATGTGATCAATCGCTTCATCTGCTTTGTTGTGCAGAGTGAACCAGCGACAAACACAATGGAGAGGCCTGTGGAGAGCGAGGTAAACAATGAGAGTGACCCCCCTGTAAAGATGCCGAGATGCGTCTTCACGATTTCTATTTGCCAAACACATATGACCAGATGGTGTTGACAAGTCTGGGGCCGGAACATCGAACACCTCCGTGCATGTTTGAGCGGCAAGGGAATGAATGATGTTTGTGCTCGCAGAATCCAAGGGCACGGTACATCACAAGAGTTAACAATCTCGTTTCGACGAGTTAGCGTGCCAGTTTTCAACAACAGCCCAGGTTGGGTGACGTAACCAAGTTTATCTTTGAGCCAGCAAATGTTACCACGATCATGCTCGAAAGTAGTTTGAACACAATGTAGCAACAAGAGGTAGTTTTTCGCCAGACTTGGGTTCTATTTTGTGTGTTTGCCTAGGCATGCGCGAGGGCATCATTAGGTTTGATTAACTCGACCGTTCAAATACTGCCATACTACAATGTACCCACGGCCAAGTTCGATACCATAACTAAAGTGTCAAGGCTTTCTCAGGAGGATTCGAGATCGAACGCGCATCTCACTACACTAGTGGAATCGCTGATCTTGCATGTTTCCACGCATGGAATGCTGACTCTTCCTGATACTGTTCAAGGCCGAGGCAGGCTCGAGCTCGATCCCGTAGCGCGTCCAGCCTCAAGTGTTTCAAGCTGCAAGTTTGACTGAGGGCTTCACTGGCAGATGTTCGAGCAGCTTGCGCCATAGTCGAGGTTCAGGCCGAACGTGACCACGATCAACACGTTGTTTTACAGGCGATACGGTCGATGATGCATGTTTCTAGTTCTGTGTAGTCAGGTCGACCAGCATTGGCCGTTGATGCGGTTCTGGAGCATTTGGCATCATTCCCATTTCGACCTTCTCCTTCTCCACTTCCTCCTCACCCTCCTCCTCCGCCTCCTCCTCCTCCTCCTCCTCCCCTACGACCACACAATATCAGTACTACTCTCCTCTCTTCCCTGAAGACCCCGAGGTCATAGCTTGCCCCCTCCGCGTTTTGTTTTCGAAACATACGATCCCCCCAAAGGTGGTCAGAAATATGTGTTTTTTCCCATCCGAGCGTCCCCGAAGGGCGCTCCCGCTGCAGCGTTCGCCTCATTTTCTGGCCCTCAGTCGTTCCAAATCCTACTCCCGCTGCAGCGCTGACCTTACTTCTTTGTTGTGGATATTCCAAATCGTGTTTCCGATGCAGCGTTGGCTCTGATTTTACGTTTCCGCTCTTTTCGAACGATTCATTTACATATCTCGTCCTGTGTCATGTCTGGTTTTCCTCCGAACATGATACGCTCTGCCGTGCTCTTCTACGCCGTGCTACGCCGTGCACTATCATGCATCTCGCACCATCTCGGGATCACTGCCCTGCTGGGCACCCAGCTGTGCGAACAGAGAGGCGATCTGTGCCACGGTGCGGGACCAGATAGGACGCTTGCCCTCCAAGCTTGCCCCCCCCCCTCGGCGCTCCCCCCCTCCCTCCCCCCTTTCTCCGCCCCCCCCCACGGCGAGGGCCGGGGGAGGGCGCGGGCGGGGGAAGGCGAACGGCTTCCTGAACCTGACGCTCGCCCTGCCGGCCGCGGCTGCGCTCCCCTTCGTGGCGGCGCTCTGCCACGTGCTCGCCGGGGGCGGCCCGCGCGGAGCGCTGCGGGGGCGGCCCCTGCACGCCGTAGGCGAGGCCCCGCCCTCCTCTCCTTGGGCCCCCTCCCGCCATGGATGGATGCGTACAGAGTTGCCTGGGGGAGAGGGATGCCCCCCTCCTCGTCCTCCTCCTCCTCCTCCTCCTCCTCCTCCTCGTCCTCCTCGCCCTCCTCCTCCTCTTCGTCCTCCTCGCCCTCCTCCTCCTCCTCGCCTTCCTCCGCCAAACTGCTATTCGTGCACATCGTGATCCTCTTCCTTCTCTGACCCCCCTCGTCCCCCTTCTGGATCATTTCATGATTTCTTCTCCTCCTCGTGGTCTTCGTGCCCCGCCACCGTCTCTGCCCTCGTCCCCCTCGTTGTCGTGCCCCTCATCTGTTTCTGTCTCTGCTGTCGCTCCTTCCGTTTCTTTTTTCCTCGTCGTTTTTTGTTCGTCATCTCCCTCGCACTCGGCCTTGCTTGCGTAATTACTCGTCCACTGAGTATTATGATTATTTCCAGTCCCGTCCTCGTCCTCGTTCTCGACTTCGTAATTACTCGCACTCGTGCTGGTCCTCGTCCTTGTCGTCGGCGCGTCATGGTTCTCGTGCTCGTCTTTGTACTGATGCGCGTCTGCGTCCTCGTCTTCCGCTCTCATCCCCCTTCCCTCGTGCGTGGCCACTCTGCCATAACTGCCCTGCGCAAGGGATGTCGCAAGGCTGCGCGACAGGGGACAGGGGCGGACAGGTGAGACGTCGTGCGCGGCATGCAAGAAGACGCGGAGAATCCAACAAGCGCGTCAGGATCCACAGAGAGGAGGCAATTCAGTGTCCATGAGCACTGCAGAGCACGTCCACCGTGGGCGAGGGCTCGGGAGTGTTCGCGCCTTCCGGCCGCCGCCACTCGCTGGGCCTCCTCACCGGCGCAGCCAGCCGCTCCTGCGGCGGGCCGTGCGCCGTGCGACACCGGGAGTGCGCCTCCCGCCCTGCAGGCGCCCTGGCCGCGGCCCCTGCCACCCCCCACCAGGAGACCGTGCCCGCATCTGCTACCACGGCCCGTCTTCCTCCTGCCCGGTGCGCTCGTCTCGGCGCCCCCACCGCCTTCGGCCTGCAGGCACCGGCGCATGCCCACACGCGCCGACCCGACTCCCCTCCGCTGAGACCTGCAGCCGGCCGCCCTCGCGGCTCCCAGGGGTGGGCCTATCGCCCGAGGCCGCTCCGCCCGTCTTCCTCGGGCCAGGCTCCCAGGCGGCCACGCATCCGCTGCTTGACGAGCCCTGCCTCCAGCCTGGCGGAGGTGCCGGCCTCGTGCACCCCCCTCTCCGACGTTCCCTCTCGAAGCCGTCGGCCGCTGACCTCGGTTCATCGCCTCCCAGTGGCGCGCGCCCAAGGCAGTTCGGGCCTCTCCGCCTTGGATCCTCGCGGTGGCGAAGCGGATCGGACGCACTTTTGCCAGCCGCCCCACCGACCTCTCCGCGCTCTTCCCGGCAGCCAGCAGCCACCGTGGTTCCCTAGAGCTGGCCTGCCCCTGCCTTTCCTCGCGGGGATGACGGTCCCCCCAGCCCTCACCGGCAGCTCCGACCTTGCGGGCATCTTCGGCTTCTGGAGGGTCGCGTCTGCACTTCCCGGTGGGTGGCGGGGTGCCTGGCATCCCACCGAACGCAGGCGTCGTGAGCTCCCCCGCGGCATGCGAGATTGCTGCTGTGGAACATCACAGCGGCCACAGCAGCCGTCTCGAGCGCACCCGCTCCAAACGCAACGGCGGTAGCGCCCCCGTCTTCTTTGGCGGCTGAGATCGCGGCGGATAGACAGCTCATCTGCGCTGGAATCTCCTCCTCCTCATCATCCCGCTCCCTTGTCCTCCTCCTCCTCATCCTCATCATCATGCTGCTCCTCTTTCTCTTCTTCTTGTCTTCCCTGAGCGTTGCGACCTGTGATCGCTGGACCTTTTGGGAGCTCAGGGTGCCCAGAGACGATCAAGTGGATCCTGGCTAGGCAGTAAAACAACAGGCATTGGGCTTGCTGGCCCAGGCTGTTCAATGGTCTGCCGGGCTGTTGAGGAACTTCATGGTGATTAAGTGGATGCGTTCTTCATGCCACGGACCATTGATGGAATGAACATGTTTGCCAGCGTGGACCCCGAACAGTTAGTGTGTGCAGCGTGGTGCAAGCCAACTATGCGGTGGAAGCTATGTGGTGCAAGCGACGTGGTGCAGGCTATGTGGTGCAAGTGGTGTGGTGTACGCCATGTGGTGCAGGCGAGGTCGTGCAGGCCACGTGGTTCGAGCTATGTGGTGCAGGCCGTGCGGCACAGCCAGCGAAATGACGCGCCCACGAAGCGCCCCCGGGCGCGCCCACCAGGCGCAAGCCCGAAGCTCCCAGCCAACACAAGGCGCCCAGGAGGCGGCCACGGGCGCCCACGAGGCGAACACTTGGACCCACCCGCAGAGCAGGGACCCCTCAGTGCAAGCACTGTTCTGGGAGCATCCCCTCCACATGCTCTCGTTGAGCTTATCCGGTGCTGGAGAACGCGCGCTTGCTATCCAGATCGTTGGCTCGAAGCGTTGCTCCCCCATCGGAGCTTGCCTCTGCAGGGGTCCTAGCGGATTTATGTGGTCAGGTTAGCTGCGTCGCCAATTTCAGCGGCACGCCCGGGTGCCCAGGTGCCCAGGTGCCTCGGAGCTGCGTCGCCGATTTCGGCGGCCCGCCGGGGTGCCCGGGTGCCCGGGTGCCCCATAGCCCTATAGCCCACTAGCCCTATAGCCCTATAGTTCTATAGCCCTATAGCCCTGCAGCCCCATAGCTCAGTAGCCCTACAGCCCTATAGCCGTACAGCCCTGTAGCCCCATAGACTTATAGCCCCATAGCCCCATAGCCCTATAGCCCCATAGCCCTATAGCCCTAAAGCCCCATAGACTCATAGCCCTGTAGCCCCTATGGCCCTATAGCCCTATAGCCATATTGCTCTATAACCCAATAGCCCCATATCCCAATAGCCCCATATCCCTATAGCCCCATAGCCCTATAGCCCTAGCCCTATAGCCATATAGTCCTATACCCCCATAGCCCTAAAGCCCTATAGCCCTATAGCCCTATACCCCCATAGCCCTATAGCCCTACACCGCCGTAGCCCTCTAGCCGTATAGCCCTATAGCACTATGGCTCAATAGCCCCATAACCCTATCGCTCTATAGTCCTACAGCCCCATAGCTTTGACTAAGCGTAGTAGACCTAATAGACCTCAGAGACCTTCGAAATGTGTTACGTTGGTGTCCTCACCTCCGTCGCCGTCGTCGTCCAAGCGGCGCAACATCAAATCATGTCCAAGCGGCGCAACATCAAATCATGTCCTGGCAAACCAACAAAGATTACGATGTGGTTTTTCACTGGTATCATTAGGCGAGCTGCGTCGCCGACTGTGGGTGTCCTAGCGGATTCATATAGTTCGGCCAGCTGCGTCGCCGATTTCGGCGGCACGCCCGTGTGCCCGGGTGCCCCATAGCCCTGCAGCCTTATAGCCATATGGCGCTACAGCCCTACAGCCCCATAGCCCTATAGCCCTATATCCCTGAGGCCCTATTGCCCTACTCATCTATAGCCCTATAGCCTTATAGCCCTATAGTCCTATAGCCCTACAGCCATATAGTCCTATAGCCCCATAGCCCTATAGCCTTATAGCCTTGTTGCCCCATATCCCTATAGCCCTATAGCGCCATAGCCCTATAGCACTGTAGCCCTATAGCCATGTAGCCCTAATCGCCCTAATAACCCAGTAGCCTGATAGACCTACAGCCATATTGCCCTGTAGCCCTATAGCTCTATAGCCCAATAGCCTCATAGCCCTATAGCCCTACAGCCCCATAACTCTATAGCCCTATAGCTCTGTAGCTCTATAGCCCTATAACCCCTTAGCCCTATAGCCCTATAGCCCTATAGCCACATAGCGCCCTGTAGCCCCATAGCCATATAACCCCATAACGCCATAGCCCCATAGCCCTATAGCCCTATACCCCCCATAGCCCTGTAGCCCTATACCCCCTATAGCCCTATAGCCCTACACCCCTACAGCCCTATAGCCCTATAGCTCTATAGCCCCATAGCCCAATAGCCCCATAGCCTTACAGCTCTATATCGCTATAGCCCCATAACTTTACAGGCCGAATTGGCCTAATAGACCGAATAGACTTCACAAACCTTCGAAATTATTACGTTGGTGTCCTCACCCCCGTCGCCGTCGTCGTCCAAGAGGCACAAAATCAAATCATGTCCTGGTAAAACCGCAGAGTCTGATGTGGTTTTCCCTTGGTATCATGTCATTCCGAGCTCCCTGTGCTTAAGATCTGCGTGGGCCCCCAGGAGGTCTGGTGATCGCGTAGGCTTCTCTGCCGCTGCGTTCCTGTGGTTCGCCTTCTTCTCGTCTATTCCGCACAAGGATCGGGAGCAAACCAATCCAGCATGATCAGGATGTAACTTATGAGGGAGTTTAATGAAGATGGCGGTTGTGACCGTGGACGGTGGTGATGGCGAAGATGCGGATGACGATGGCGAGCAGGACGGGGATGACGGTGTCGATGATGCTGACGATGAGTGGGAGGAGGAGGAGGAGGAGGGAGGAGGAGGAGGAGGAGGAGGAGGAGGAGGAGGAGTAGGAGGAGGAGTAGGATGAGGGGTAGGAAAAGGAGGAGGAGGAGGACGAGGAGGAACAGGAGGAGGAGGAGGAGGAGGAGGAGGAGGAGTAGGAGGAGGAGGAGGAGGAGGAGGAGGAGGGTGCTGAGGGTGCTGACTACATCAAGTCTGACGACCTGCTCGGCACTACGGCCGCTACGCACGCGCCGCCTCGACGCGAGGCCACTCCCAAGGGGGGTACGATCGAGCACTAAGAGAGCGGGCATCGAAGGCTGGGAACATACTTGTGTTGAATGACACGCGAGCAGATAAGAACGAACAGGCTTAAAATGATTCTTGTTGAATATATACATATAACGGCGCACTGGGGCCAGGGCCCCGGGGCCGGCCCCTCGACCACAAGTGTGGGTGGGCAGGCCCTTGGGGGGGCT